GTTCATTATTTTCGTATAGAAGAATTCTGCACGCAACGATGACATTGTAACAAAAATAGTAATTACAAAAACCTTTCTGTTTGCAACCAGAAAAATACAGCTAAAACCTTTTGATATATAAGAACAGGAACTACCACGAAAAAGAAGCAACAAATAATTTGATCAACGAATGACAATAATCTGTCTAATCGTGCCAAAATATGATACATGTAAATTGTAAATTATATCAATGACCCCACTTCATTATTAATGATTATTAATGTGTTTATCAAATCATTAAAGTTACTGTTCAAATCTGCTTTTTTACAGATGTTATGAAAGCTGACAGAAGTTTGGAAATGTTCGCAAATTTGTAGCATTATTTTAGAATAATTAACAAAATCCGCTGAAATTATGTGTTTTAATGATTTAAGCGCACAAAAAGATCTCTATCCGACGTGGATTGTGATGGCTTAAAATGAGAGGTAAAGAGGAAAATAATTACCATTTCAATTAAATCTAAGATTAATAGTAGACACGACATGCAAATCATTAAATAACTTTCAAATACATCCGAGAATTCGTTTGACCTGAATGAAAATGTAAAAAAGTTTGGATATATCCTAATATTTGAATTCATTTTTTATGACAAAAAATACAAGATGTGAAAATGCGTACTTGGCAATTATTCACATTATTTACACTCTGACTGTTTTCCTCATATTTTTTTTTATTATCAAAACCTTTCGACCATTGTTTCCTCCAACCTTCATCAGGTTCTTGCCGATCCGGTTAACTTTCAGTGAATTTCAAGGTAAACCTTTTATTTAATCTACGGAGCTAGATTGTTTTCGTTCTATTGGCCATACATAGAGATATATCGTCTAATTCATTTTTTTATGATTTTTAACTTATTGCCCGCCCAGTTTCCACTGAGTCTAAGACTACACTACTTGGCTCTGGTATTGAACTCATATTTGCTATATAACCAATTCATAAATCAATGCTTTAATGTAAAGATTATGATAATCCAAATATTTATAACTCTTAATCCTAGACATTTGGACATGAACAATTTACAAGTTTAAATCGAATATATATGAACCAATCAATCTGTTCTGTAAACTATTTTAATTCGTTTCCTGCTATTTGATCTTCGTGATTTTGCCGCTGTAATTTGTGTTCAAATCTAGGTAAAAGTTACTATAACGGATGCTACATTTCAAGGTAACGAAGATCTCTAACACCGTCAAAAGAGCCCTTACCCATTAAAGTAAGCCCGAAAATCTATCAACGAAAACATTATAACAAAATCTACAAAGACGAAGAAACCAGCTCTAACTGAATAATGTGTAACAGTCCATTCTTAGACTTGTAAAATCTGAACTACTTTATCGGAATAAAGCATTTTTGTTGACAAAGTTTTGAGAATTGTTTTTAGGTAATTTGAGGTCGCTGGTCTTGAAAATCGAATCCATCTTTGCCTGTCACGTCAAATTCTTTTCTCTATGGCACATCAATGATATGCAGTGTAAATCTTCTTGTTAAGATCGTTTACGGCCATAGCTCGTTAAAACATCGGTTCTTGTACGGTCACCGAAATTAAGCAACGTAGCGCCTGGATGGATGCCCGCTACGGAATACTTGTTGTCGTAAGCGTGGATGTGCGGATGGTGTAATGGATAACGGCTAGGATTTGGAAATAGAAGAGTCGAGTTCCAATTTCACTTGGGTTCGTTATATTCACTTACGCGAAAATATCTTTGGGAAACGTATGAATTGACCTATTCCCACCCAGCTATGGGTTAATTAGTAAAACTTATGTCAGTATATCATTATTTTATCAAAAAATTCTTAAAATCGAAAAATATTTTCTGGTTTTAAATAACCTGCAAAAGGTTGATAATCCATAAAAATACAAATAATTTTATCAACCCTGGTATATATATATATCACTATATTGCCCAAGACCATGATGAATAATGTCATCCATTACGTCATTCGGATGAATTATTAATTAATATCAGTTTGGGTAATTCTCAACTGATTAAAAAAGACTTATATTAAAATGTACTTTTCAGGAAATTATCTATTCATGGATTAAATTATCTTTCTCGGTAGCTTGTGGAGTGTTTAATGTCAAAGCAATGCTTCAGATTACTTCAACACTAATCTGCCATCATCAGTGTGTTATTGTTTTTTATTATTTAAATCATTTCACCCAAAACAAGGCAATAAAGCCACTGAGACGTAGGGGTTACTGAATATGAGATAATGTGGCTAAAATCATTATGAAGGGGAGAGAACAATAAAACATCAGGAATTAAGAAGACAGATGACAACGATTGACATTGCATTTAAAATATTGAAGATCAAAATTGACTGGGAAGCAAGAAGCCAGAAGCGAGTTCTACGAGCCAGAAATGTGAGAGAAGAAGCTACGAAATTACGGTTATATTACCGATGAAAACGCGATGAGAACTTGTCACCAATCGTGTTCCATCGGCCGTGATATGTTTCC